TCTTTTCGTTTCATGTTGTTTTCGAGATCACGGCGCTGGCGCGTTGCTTCCTCAATGGTTTCCTGTGCTATTTTCAACTCCCCTTCAACCTTTCGCTTCGCCTTTTCCGTATCAGCTTTGGTTCTTCGTTCGCGTTCTAGGCTGTCTTCCAGGTCGTCAAGCGTCTGCTCTAGCTTGCTTTTGATCTTATTGATGTGGTTTGTTTTGTCTTCCTCACCCTGAAGATCCTCCATAATTTTTTTGTTCAGCTCCTCCTGGTGCCTCATTTCCTTGTTCAGTTTTGCAACCGTTTCTTCCTGCTGTTGCATTTCGTCCTGAAGCGAACGAATCTGGTGATCTTTTGATTGCTTCTCCATTTCAGCTTTGCGGACGCTAACTTCCAGATCTTGAATTTGCTTTTTGAGCGCTTCGACTTCGCCCTCAACCTTTTTTTTCGCGCGTTGAATTTCAGCATTTTGGTCTTCCGTTTCAGCTAGTTGCTCATTCAGATCCTGAAGCAACAATTTGTAAGCAAAAGTTTATAAAAATTTTTTTAAACAGTCAGGATAATTTTTGCATACTAAGTTGAAAATACTCAATTTTAAATTATTTTTAAGGAATGCATCAAGAACAAGAGAAAGAAATGGCGCTGTAACAAAGATTTATTCACCTCAAGCTTTTTGTCGGCTTCTGACTTCGTGGATTCAATTTCTTTGAGCCGGCTTTCTGCAGTAGTCAGTTGATTCTTGGTTGCTTCGAGCTGCCCGAACAACTCTGCTTTTTCGGACTCCATTTTCTTCGAGGATTCGTCAAGCTCCTTTCTCAGTTTTTCTTCTTTTTGGAGTGTCTCTTCGAGTGATTTCAATTTCTCTTGTAACTTTTCCATTTCCTCAGCGATCTTTCCTTCTTTAAGCATTGGCCGTACTTTGGTGTACAACTTGAACCAGTCCCACGTTCTTAGTGAACACCACGACCGCACGTTTCTTTGAACAATAAGCAGACCGGCTTTCTGTTCGATCCGTCGCTTCTTGTCAGTCAGTCCAAGATACCACCGGATCTGAGACTGGAGTTTGGTCATGATAATTTTAAGAGCTTCATCACGAACGTCTTCCAGATGCGCCAATACACCTGCTTTGAAGAAGACTTTTGTTTCACCTATGCGGAAGTTCTCTTCAGTTAGAACGCCGTCCTTCACTAGCCTGTTCAGGATTGCTCCTGCACATTTCTTCGGATCTGTCGAGCTCACTGATTCTTCAGCAGCCAGCACCGAGTAGCGTTGCTTGAAATCTTTGTGTAATGTCCTGCAAATTCAATAGCCTTAGGATATTATGGGCGGAACTGCTGCTATTTGTATGCAGCGTTGCAAAATGCAAATTAGCAATGCAAGCTTGCGAACAAACTTACAATTCTCGTCTTAACTCACTGTTTTTATGCGTTTTTGCATATATGCAAATTGCAAAAACGCATACTGG